AAAGCCAAAGAGAGAGAGTGAGGCAGTGGGACGAAGAAGCACTTGTTTTTGTTTATGTGCTGTGCCAGCCTCAGGCCACTATAATGCTTGTGATTCGCAATATTTTGGTGAAGCATAGAACATCCTTGAGTTGTGTTTACATTTCCTGCTGCATTGCCTGAAGCCTTTTCCTCAGCTGGGCATCTGGGCTCAGAGATGCTTACATTAGAAGTGGCACTTATCAAATGAGCTCACAGTTAAATGTGTGAGAAGACAGTATGCTGGGTGCATTCTAAGAACTGATAATTAAAGGAGGGACAAGCAAGGCCTGCATCCAATGACTTAGTTATCGCCCATTCTGAAATCCTCAGAAGACTTTTTTCAAGGAGATGCTGAGTTCAGGCTTTTGCATCATTAATTAAAACAAAAAAAAAAAAAAAAAAAGACAAGTGTAAGTATGTCATGTGTGGTTGGGTGATCCGGACCTCAATGAAGCACAATGTGGTCTCTGTGTGGTTCAATGCCTTTTCTCACCGTGAGCTCCAGAGCTTCGTTGAACAGGCCGTTGCGCTTGCTACGGAGGAAGGGAGTGGAGTTTCCTGTCTTGGATATTCGTATCTTGGCCAAGCGGGCTTTCTGCAAAGAGCAAGAGACCAAAAGAGCCACCTGTTAGTCATTGCCAATAGTGCATCCTATGTCAGAATGACTGAGTATCATCCTGATGCATTCCAATGATTAGAGCCGGAGAACTTCCACATGCTTGATATTTTAGTTGTGATCTTATAGATTAAATCAAACGTGCTACTAAAGCATTCGCTCTGATCTCCTGTGATAAATTCACTCTGATCTTGTGTGATGAATGATTTATGGTGACTACACAACAACACTTTCCCCAGTTAGAGCAGCAGCTATGAGCAGAGCAGGTAAATCCTATAAGAATTAAGCAGCTAAGTGTCATTCTGGATTTAACATACTGAATTCAGTTTATTTGTACTGTTTTTGTGCTGCTGCGTTAGCAGTTTTATCAACTTTACTCCTGAGCCACTATGTTAGTGTCTACTTAAATGCATCTTTATTCATCAAGGCTGTTATTAGTGCATAGTCCAGTCTCATTATCTCCCCTCCTTCTTTTTCTCTCCTGCAGACAAATCTCTCCCGTGAGGCAGTCAGCATGACAGACAGACAAAGAGAGAAAGAATCCAAGGAAGAACAGATCCACTCTGGTGTTGGAAGTGAATTCATTCATTATGCATAAGTAGCTCTGAAAGGATTCTACACCAATATCTTGGTTTTTGCTCTACCGGACACACACTGTTGCTACTGAATGTGTGTGAAAACATGTCTCAGTGTGTACTAGCTTGTGTGAGAATGTGGGTCTCTATAAATCTCTCAGTTACAAGATCAACTGCTTTTACAGGACAGTGTAATCTCAGCAACTCACTTTCAAACAGCCACCATTTTACCATTAAAGTCCAGAGTTGGGCGCCAGGCTCGATGCAACTACAAAGCAGATATGTTTGTGTTGCTTTTTAACAACAAAATGACAGATTAATTGAAAAGAAATTAGTAGAAGGGTGATGAGCAGGCAGCAGTAGCCCATGCACTGCAGGGAGACTGACTGTCTCGATACCGCCGTGTCTCCATTTTCATAGCTGAATTTCTATACATATAAGCCATATAGAATACAAGCAGAAATACCTGTCTCAGTAAGAGTATGGTGTATTGTATCAACTCCTGTGATGAATGGCGGTCATGTTTGTTCACCCTACTTGTAGCTCATTTGATCTAAAGAGGGGCAGGCATGTGACCATACTGCACAGCAGTCAACTTGTACTGTAGCATCTATAGCACAACTGGTTTTACATTGTTTATGTTCTCCTGCAGCTTTTTGTCTTTTGCTCACCCTCCTTCCTGCTCTCCTTGAAGTTTTCCTCATTCTCTTTGTGCCCTCACACTCTAACACCTATGTACATTTATGCTGACACAGCACCTCCACAGGCCTATGGGATAACCCTTCTTTATGTATTGGTGTACTCAGCCAGTGGGTTTGTCTCTCCTGGGTCACCATGCAAACAGGAGCCTGTGACTGCGGTGATGGGTGCCCGGCAGCAGAAGAGTAATGGAGGGGATGTTAAGAACATGTCCTGCTAGATTAAATCTACTTCTGCAGTTCTCTGATAGATTCCTGGGTCCTTTGGGACCTGGGTGCTTGTGTCTAAGACCCATCTGTGCTTTCAGGCAGAACCACAATGTGACAGATTGAGCCTGAATTGCTGATGAAACATCATTGAGAGCACACAGGAGTGTAAGGCAACCAAGGACACAGGGTTTTCATTAACAGCTGTGCAGAGTTCCATGTGAAAGGTTACGTGACCAAAAAGTCTATCTGCTGCACACTTCTTCACAGAGGCACATATAGTCACATAGCCACCATATATCCACATGTACATGGACAAACATGCAGAGTGAAAATTGAAGCGACCACTTCAGGAGATTGTGACAAAAAAAAAATAAATAAAAAAAAGACTTTATTTTGCCTCGTATAAAATATACCTTGGGTCACAGATTTATAGAATGCTGCTATATACAGTACCAGAGGGGTTTGCCACAATAATTAAATATACTTTTCTTCTCAGAGACTGGATGGGCATGTTGGTGTCTGTCTTGGATTGAGAACAGCTGGCAGGCGGAGCACCAGCAGGGGAACGAAAGACAAAGTAAACAAACTTCGGCCTTTAAGCCACAGGCAGAGAGTGTGTTTGTTGGCAGTGACTGTGAAGAGTAAGAGCTGGTTCATAGTGTTACACTGTTGTTTACATAAAAAGTGACAGAAATAGTTGTGCAATGAATGAAAAACAAAGATTGACTGCAAGGAGTTCATTCCTTGGCCCCTTTTTCACTTTTGCACAATGGCCAATCACAGCCTGAAGTAAGCGTGAATGTTGAATCAACAGTTCTGGAAACTTACAGAAATGATCAGACACAGACACTCCCACATGTGATCCCACATCAGAAAGGTGTAGGAGGAGAAGGATATCAAAGATATGTAACCATCTAAATGGATTCAACTGATTTTTGTGCAGGTACCTTTACATGGAGTTTAATGTGCTGCAGTTGACCAGCTAATTAGCAATCTAGCCCACAGACTGGCATTAACATAGACATTTTCTCCAGTGAATGTTCAACGGCCATTTATTTAGTAAGTAAAGATGTTTGACCTCACGTGTTCATGTTAGTAAGTTAGACAGGAAGGAACCTTTAACACGGGTTGTTGTTCAAAGCTTGTGGCTCTTGCTATGTAGCAAGCTACGTATGTCGAACAGCTGGTCAGAGTAGCTGTGTGGCTATAACAGAACAATGATCTCATTTCTTTATTCAAATATGAATTTAAAGGAAGCAAACTGATTAGCTGTATGGAAACAATTGCTTCATCTATGCAGACAGAGAACTTTCAACACTAATGCAAGGATCACAGGTGCCAACATTATACTGTACCAAACAAACTATATCCTTCTCACAGGACATATGGTTTACAGAGCAGATATGTGCTGTAACAGACAAAAAGCAATGCAGTTTCAGTGTGACTTTAACTTAGCGTCTTGTAAAAACAGTGTCTTTTGAAAACCCAAAATACTGTAACATCTTCCAACCAGTGATGCTCAATAACACTGCCTGAAACACTCCAGATGCTGACACACACCCAAGAGCCAATAAACTGATCCAAACACCTTTGTCTCTGTCCTTCCTGCCATGGAGTCATAACTTAGGATCAATCACACTTTAAAAATTATAGCTATAGGATGCAAGCCAGCACAAATGCTTCATTTTAACACCACTTGCTGCCAGCTGAGGGATCTGAGCTGGCATATCCTCAAATGATTAATAAAACACTACATATTCACTCAGCTCCCATGCCATACTATGCTGAGCACTGCCAGGAAGTTTTGTTAGAAGTTCATTTTTTTAGTGGAAAGTAGAAGTTTAAAAAATTCATGGCACCTCGTGAGTTACAGCTTTGCTAGACTGCCTATATGGGATTTGGCTGAATGAAAAGTGGAGCACCCGAGCTATAAGACCAGATTAGGTTCTGCCTCAGGCCTGCCTTGAACACATACAAGTGAAAGAGGAGACCATCCAATGAAGAAACAGGTGCGCGTGCGCACACACAAATAGCTGTGGAAGAGTCTAATTTTGTTTTGCGGCTGTGACTCTTCTTAAGAGTTGCTTTTATACATGTTGACATGTCTGCCACAACGAAATAAATCAGTTACTTCTTTTGAGGTATGTTGCTTTACGATAACACACACACATACACAATGACAGACGGAGAGAGCGAGAGCAAGACAGAGAGAGAGGCAAACAAGTGTAAGGAGAGAAGAAAAAGGGGTGGGGGGAGGGAGGATTTGGGAAAAACTGACTTTTAGAATCAGGTATTTGGTAAAAGCAAAACACTCTGGATGACAGAAAGAATTCATTCTGAGGAAATAAATCCTCCGACACCCCGGGCCCACATAACAGTCGCTGCTGCAAAGGCATCTTAATCTCAGATTAACACCAGTCACAGACAACATACCTCTCTGCTGAGTCTGGATTACACCCTTTTTATAAAGAAAGGTAAAGCTCTGTTTTGCAAGCTTAAGTGATGCTGATGTTTAGAATTCTTTTTATTCATTTATTTATTCTTACAAAGGCCATAATACATAGCACAACTCCAGATTCCCCTCACACTGAGGTCTCATGTCACCATCCCTCTTTTTGGTCTTGGAACATGCAGGTGACTTTATTGATTGTCTAGAAGGGCAAAGCACTTTTAGACTTCAAACTTCTGAGGGAGAGCGAAATGATAGTGAAATGATTTGGGGTGGGGGGGGGAGCAGAGTACTTGTTTTTTGTTTTGTTTTTGCCATGTCAGCCCCTAGCCAATGCAAAGCTCATGAACTGCAACAGACAGTAATATTATTATTCAATCAGTCTGAGAACAACAACCGGTCCAACCAGAAGAACAAATCCAGTCAAAGTAGGAAAAGGATGAGGCAGTAAAATAAACATTGGAACTTAATTTTCACAGAAGTGGGAACATTAATGGGAAGCAAACACAGATACTGTATATGTACAGATTCTGCAGCTCTACACCTGAGGCTAGACTCACAATGCACCATTAAGCCAAATAAAAACTCCACTTGTAAATGCTTTTTTCTTTGTGGAGCCTAGTTCATGTGTGTATAAATTCATTATAGAACACACTTGTATAAATCTATCAAAAAAAGATTTTACCCTCTTTATGGGAACTAACAGGTTTGCCTAAATGGGAATGATGAATTTACAGAAAATGAATGCTGTATCAGGAAGGCAACAAGGACTCCAAATTAAATGACAGAATCTGTTGAACATAACTGCTCTGACACATACATACAGAAGAAGCATTTTCTGATCCCCATCCTTGGCCTCTTTTGTCTTCTTGTAACCCCTCATGACCCTTCTTGCTACATACTCTTCTTATTTGCTCTCATCATAATTAATACATCTAATAGAGGACTCTGTCACTTGAAAGTAAACATTTGTTTAAGGGCACTGGCTGAAATGACTATAGCTGGCGTTAACAGCGAATACAATGAAAAGCAAGTTCAACAAAAGCC